AGACTCTGCCTCAAAAAAAAAAAAAAAAGTGGATTAATGGTTGCCAGAGCCTGGGGTGGGTGATGGCAGATTGCTAATGGGTACTGGGTTTTCCTTTTGGGGTGATGAAAATATTCTACACTATTTAAAATAGTAGTTATGGCCAGCTATGGTGGCTCATGCCTGTAATCCCAGCACTTTGGGAGGTCGAGGCAGGGAGATCACTTGAGGTCAGGAGTTTGAGATGAGCTCCAACATGGCAAAGCCCCATCTCCACTAAAAATAGAAAAATTAGCTGGGTGTGGTGGTGCATGCCTGTAACCCCAGCTATTTGGGAGGCTGAGACAGAATTGCTTGAACCTGGGAGGTGGAGGCTGCAATGAGCTGAGATCGAGCCACTGCACTCCAGCCTGGGTGACAGAGTGAAATCGTGTCTAAAAATAAATAAATAAATTAAATAAATTAAATAAAAGTTATATTGTACAATCTTGTGAAAATGAAAAGTCACTGAATTGCACATTTTAAAGTGCTGAATTTTATGTTATGTGAATTTGATGTCATTAAAAATTGCCCCAAAAATAGAAAAGAAAGAAAAAAGTTGTCCTTGGAGAGTTGCATGGAAAGCGATATGGCACTTCCTCAAAGCGCTGAAGGCAGAACTGAGGCAGGAGAACAGGGTCTGGAGGCAGGGAATCTAAGGACTTCCTATAAATCAAACAGCAAAACTCCAACTTTCTTATTTTTGTGTGTGTGTTTTTTTAAGACTGAGTCTCGCTCTGTTGCCCAGGCTGGAGTGCAATGGTGCAATCTTGGCTCACTGCAACCCCCACCTCCCGGGTTCAAGCAATTCTCCTGCCTCAGCCACCTGAGTAGCTGGGACTACAGGCATGCACCACCACGCCCAGCTAACTTTTGTATTTTTAGAAGAGATGGAGTTTCACCATGTTAGCCAGGATGGTCTTGAACTCCTGACCTCAAATGATCTGCCTGTCTCAGCCTCCCAAAGTTCTGGGATTCCAGGTGTGAGCCACCACACCCAGCCAAAACCCCAACTTTCTATGCCCAAGTAAATAACTTCATAACTTCACTTCAGCTATGTCAGGAAGCACCCTCTTAATTTGCATAGGGTGTACACCAAGTAACAAATGGGAAACCTCTAGAAGGTATGTAAGCCCCAGTAAATTCTGTAACCATTGCTCTTGAGCCTGTTACTGGAGCCTGCTCCCACTCTGTGGAGTGTATTTTCGTTTCGATAAATCCGTGCTTTTCTTTCTTTGCTTTGTTTGTGTGTGTGTGTGGGTTTTTTTTTTTTTTTTTTTCTGTCAGATTCTTCGTTCAAAATGCCAAGAACCTGGACATCAGTAATAGAACTATCATTTGATGCAGCAATCCCATTACTGGGTATATACCCAGAGGAATATAGATCATTCTATCCTAAAGACACATGCACGTGAATGTTTATTGCAGCACTATTCACAATAGCAAAGACATGGAATCAATCTAAATGCCTATCACTTACACACTTGGATAATTACAGACTGGATAATGCCCATCAGTTACAGACTGGATAAAGTAAATGTGGCACATATACACCATGGAATACTATGCAACCATAAAAAACAAGATCATGTATTTTGCTGGAATATGGATGGAGCTGGAGTCCATTATTCTCAGCAAACTAACATAGGAACAGAAGACCAAATACTGCATGTTCTCACATAAGTGGGAGCTAACTGATGAGAACTCCTAAACAGAAAGAAGGAAACAACAGACATTGGGCTCTACTTGAAGGTGGAGGGCAGGAAGAGGGAGAGGATTAGAAAAAAAATAACTATTGGGTCAGGCATGGTGGTTCATACCTGTAATCCTAGCATGTTGGGAGGCCAAGGCAGGGAGATCATTTGAGGTCAGGAGTTCAAGACCAGCCTGCCAACATGGTGAAACCCAGTCTCCAGTAAAAATACAAAAATTAGGCAGGTGTGGTTGTGCGCACCTGTAATCCCAGCTATTCAGAAGGCTGAGGGAGGAGAATTGCTTGAACTGGGGAAGCAGAGGTTGCAGTGAGCCGAGTTCACGTCACTGCACTCCATCCTGGGTGACAGAATGAGACTCGGTCTGAAACAAACAAACAAACAAAAAAAACAACAACAAAAAAACAACTATTGGGCTTAGTAACTGGGTGACGAAATAATCTGTACAACAAACCCCCATGACATGAGTTCACCTCTGTAACAAACCTGCACATATACTCCCAAACCTAAAATAAAAGTTGTTTTTTGTTATTTTTTAAATTTTATTAATAAAAGAGTTGTAAATGAGGAAGAGAGAGGGAAAACATGTGGGAAAGGAAACAGCTGTTCAGTCAAGGCTGTGAACCTTTCTGGGAAGAAGGATCTGGATATGGCTCTCTGACTAGTAAACCCAGCCTTAATCACTGTAAAGCAAGGATGATGATACTGAACACTTGTGCCTTCCTCATGATGTGCAGATTTCATTCTAAGGACCAGGATTCGGATTTGGCCATGCTGTGTCCTAAGTGTCTTTTTGGT